ATTCCATTTCATTTTTGACAAATTCCAATTTTCCTAGATTCATACTTTGTACATTCATGTTCTGATAATTAATGGATGTTTACAGTTTTTCTTCCCAATTTGAGTCATGTTGGATCAGTAAATGGAGTTTCCAAAAGCTTTACTCCACCCATGTCATTAAGGTCAACCCTACTGTGAGGAGGCAGCTCTTCCTCAGTCGTATCTGATTGCCTTCCGACCTTCACCTGCTAGCACAGTATCAGGCAATGTTTCAGAGCTATTCATGTTTTCCAGTAATATATCAGACAGTGTTTCACTGCTATTCATAAGGTTTTCACTGGCCAATTTTTTGAGAAGTGGATGGCCCCTCCCTTCTTCTGAGTCTGTCTTAGTCTGGAAGCTCTGCTGAAACCAGTCCACCATAGGTGACCCTGCTGGTATTTGAAATATTGGTGGCATAGCCTCCAGCCTCACAGCAACACACAAGTCACCACAGTATGACAAACTGACAGTTTAGGAGGCTACAAGTCTGAATTCAGAGTCTGGCTTTAGCAGCTGGGTGAATGACCTCAACCTTGGGCTTCAGCTCTGCCTCTAGTTCTTGGCCAACTGGAGCTGGAGGCTTCCTTCTAAGACTCACATAGCTACCGGCTGCTAAAGCTGATGAACCCAAGGTCAACAAGTAAAATGGCAAAATCCTAAGATCAACAAGCAACACAGCAAGCCAGTGGTTCAAGTCCAGGATCTGGAGATAAAGACTCAGCCAAACATACAATCCAAATGTACCAAAAAACTAGAGATCTTTCTCAAAACTTTTCCTTATATACTGGAAGCAGGCCACACCCGAAAGGCAGCTACTCAACTGCTCACAGTAGATTCCTCCATGGAGGTGATTACAGTCTCATCATGGGGAATACTTACATCCAGCTGCCCAGCCACTCAAAATCATGGCCCAGCCAAGTTGACATACAATTAACTACCACATAGCCACAACTCAGAATTTGGTGTGGACATACTGAAATTCCCATTAAACCTATGTTGAAACTTCCTGTCCTCCTCTATGAAGCTTAACTTCCTCATATTTTCTAACTCTTTATCTCTCTCTACATGTTTTGTATAGTTTGGTGAGATCCATCTTCTAGTTCACAAATTATCTCTTAAATTGATCTAACACCTTATCTACTGAGTTTTTATTATGTTTTTAAATTAGTAGTGAAGTACCATTTACATAAAATAAAATTAACCTGTTTTTAAATGTACAGTCAAGTCTGACAAATTGATAAAACCCTGTAAAACATTTCCACCATCCCAAAAACTTCTCTTATGCCCCTTTGTAGCTAATTCCATTTCTTACCCCTAGACAACTGTTTCCTACCCCTATATGTTTCCTTTTTATATAATGTCACTTAAGTGAAATCAAACAGTAAGAACTCTTTGTTCATAGCTTCTTTTTTTATAGAATAATGGTTCTGGATTAATTCATATCGCTCTATGTTATCAGTAGTTCGCTCCTCTTTATTATTTATTATTCCTTTTTAAAGACATATTGCAATTTGTTTATCTGTTCATGAAATTGATGGCTATTTGGGTTGTATCCAGCTTTGGGCTACTATGCAAAAACTGTTCTGAACATTGTATGGATCTTTCTGTGGACATAGTTTTTCATTTCCCTTGGATAAATAACCTTTTTTCCCCCTTGTTTCTGAACTCTGGCAATTTCCCTTTTTTCCTTTAAAGCTTAGCCTTTAAAAGAGTGTTTTAAAATATCTTATCCAGAAACATATTTTATCTATGTATTTACTGCAGAAGGGTTTTTATATCATCTAAAACACATTGCCAGAAATGGAAGTTCAGATTGAGGATTTCTGAATCCTTTTGTCAAAGCCAACTTCCATGCTTTTATATTTTCTTTTCATTAAGCAACAAACTTTTTAAAAAGACATGGACATAAATTCTTGATACATGCTACAACATGAATGAGCCTTGAAAACACTATGCTGAGTGAAATAAGTCAGTCAGAATGGACAAATAT